ATACTCACAACTCGGATGCTCCCTGACAGACCTCCATCTGTGTACCGTCGGTCCACATCTTCCCATACGCTGCTCCCTCTGCGCCGCCGGACGTGTCACATCGGCCCGACGTGTCGCCCCGCGATTGGGCATATATTATTCTCATCTGTAAGTCAAATGTTAGCCTCACACTCTACTTGGGGACCCCCTTGTGGGTCACCCGCTAACACTCGTCGCTATCCGTGCTCATCATACTCGCTCACAGGCATGTCTGTCCGCTAGGGAGGCCTCCAAGAAACCCAAGCGGGCTGCTGTCTCCGGCGGCCTTCATCGCGAGTGGCAGGACTGGTACAAGACCCCTGCGAAGAGTGATCGCCCCAGGCCTCAGATCTCAACCGTCAAGCCTTCGGAACGGCAGGCGAAGGCGACTGCGCCCTCAAAGGTCCGCACGACTCGGACGCGCGAGTCATCGGCTGAGACGGAAGGGGTCCACGACTACGCCGGACTTCATGACGAGGACGAGACCGCGGAGCGCGATGCCCTCACAGACGACAGGCCAACGACCACTCTGACGTGGGGTGATGATGCAGAAGATGACGACGTTCTCAGCTCCGACAAAGGTGTAGACCGTGAGATGGCTGCGGTTGTCGCGCGACGGGTCAGTGCTCTATTGCAAGTCTTACAGTCGCTGACCATTGTTGTCTGTAGAAGGACATATACACAAGTGTTCGACGTGTCACAGCCGCAGAGGCCGCATCCTCTTCGGAGGTCAAGAAGACCCGTGAGCGCAACCGCCCTAGCGGTAAGGATATCCCAAATGAATACAAGAAAGACTTCACCTTCCGCCTGGTGCCCTTCCTTCGTGCCGTAGCGGGCACCAAAGTCCCCTTCACCGTGCTAGAGCTGGAGAAGAAGTGTCAAATCTTCAAGACAATTTTTTCGTGGTCGGATCTGAAGATCGAGCAGGATTCCGTGTTTTCTGTTGTCGTAAGTGACGGTATACCATCTACTATCCTCACATACCCTCATGACTACCTTATAGATGGACAACCGTATCTCGGAGTGGAAGAACAAATTCCGAGAGGCAGCCCTTATGGCTGTGAAGGAGGAGATGATGGATCCCGACCGCAAGTCAAGCCGAGAGGCTCGTATTGCCTTCGTGCGCTACCAGCTTGCGCTAGCTCCTGGTGCTGACCGTTCGGACAAGGATACAATCAAGAACATGCGCGCACCTTTCTTCTGGGCTGAATGGGAGGAAGGTCACAGGCGTGTATGTATGTTATGCCTTCCATTATATCACTGCTAACAATAAGATGTCTAGGGCAAATTTGAAGGTCCTATGCTCTTGAAGACCTTAGCATATGCCCACTTTCCTGTCCTTGAGGCAGTGCCTAGTGACCTGCGGGACCAAATTCCGAACATCTACGGAACCTCGATTCCGATCGGAGCGCTCATTATGGCGGCTCTTGCGGTACGTTTGATTACATGTCATTGATGTTATATTCACTTGTGGTTCATCTAGGTTGAGTTTGCTCTCCATGCCTGGCTCACAGGTGACCTCCGCACTGCGCGTGGTGCAGAGGGTCAGTTTTCGGCTGAGAACTGGGGCGATAAGGTCATCAAGCAGAATGGTGTTCTGTTCCAGGAGAACAAAGTGGAGTCTTTGTTCAAGCGTGCTTCTACTTTGGACGATGAGCGCATTTTCCGCATCATAGACCATTGTCGTTCTCTGTGCTCTGACCGTCGGCAGGTGGTCAAGGCACAGCCTAGAGATGGTGTCCAGGAGGACACTGCTCCAGACTATGCTGAATCAGACTAGGTTTGCATGTTCTTAATGCAAACTAGACACATGCTAATGTGCCTTCTTATAGTGCACAGTTCTATACCCACAAGTTGTCATGTGTCACGGCGACTAGGCGCATAGACTCGGGTCGACGTTCGGCGACGACCCCGTAGGCGAGCGGCAAGGAGCCGAAAAGGGAGGAGAGAGAGAGAGAGAGGGATAAACGTGACAAGAAACTCGACGCGGGCAGAGCGGAGGCCGGCACGAAGGCACGAGACCTACGAAAGCTAGTCTTCACGCAGAGAGCGACAGACTAGTCCCAATGA